AAAAGTAAGTAACAGATTACTAGCTAAAAGTAAGTTACAGATTATTAGCTAAAAGTAAGTAACAGATTACTAGCTAAAAGTAAGTTACAGATTACTAGCTAAAAGTAAGTTACAGATTACTAGCTAAAAGTAAGTTACAGATTGTTAGCTAAAAGTAAGTTACAGATTATTACCTAAAAGTAAGTTACAGATTATTAGCTAAAAGTAAGTAACAGATTATTAGCTAAAAGTAAGTAACAGATTATTAGCTAAAAGTAAGTTACAGATTATTAGCTAAAAGTAAGTTACAGATTATTAGCTAAAAGTAAGTTACGGATTATTAGCTAAAAGTAAGTTACAGATTATTAATTCTGGTATCGACAAGTATATACAAGTTAAAAATATATAGCAGTTGTTCAGAATTGGAAATTGATTGAAATAATTTATACCAAAAAGATGCCCCCCCCCAGTAACACAGCGAAATGTCTGCGGACTTACAACGCTAAAAACCGGGTTTCGATACCTGTGGTGGGCAGAGCACAGATAGCCCATTGTGCAGCTTCGTGCTTACCTACAAACAAACAAACCAAAATGATATGTTTTTAAATTCAATCGTGTATAAAGTACTTGTTTCAAGCTTAAACAAACACACAGCGTTATTAAACGAGATTTATTTACATAAAATAATCCATCTTTACTTTCGGCACTATGTAAATAAGCGCTGAACAAAAGTCGTAAGTTCACAAGGAAACAAGACTTTGTTAGAATAAAATTCATATTTTACGTGCTGTAATGTCCTCCGGTGGGACAGCACTAAGTCTATGGATTTACAACGCTAAAATCAAGGGTTCGATTCCCCTCTGTGGACACAGCAGATACCTCGATGTGGCTTTGCTATCAGAAAATAGAAAAACACACATGTTCTACAGTTTAGTAAATCGTTTAAAAGACAAGACGCGTATTACTATGGTATGTGTAACATAACAAGCGTTTCTTTTGTTTTATAAAGGTGAACATCTTACGCTTACCAAAATTTTTCAAAACCCGTTCACACACGCTTTCGGCATACATATTGAGTTCAAAGTATAAATAATCAGGTATAGGATATCGTTTCTTTTGAGCTAGCCACATATTGTTTCTGAATCCTACCAAATATGGTGTCGCTGGAGAATTAATGTGTTTCTCAGCGACATCGGTCTTGAAGAAGTTTAGGAGTACTTGTTGCTCTCTAATCCCTATTTTTACTTATGGAATGACCAAGTGACGTATGAATGATAAGTGCACTTTGGCAGAATTAATTATATTGTACTGCCAATATAATGGTTATTTTTTCAGTATAAATCAGATTGTTAACTCTCACATACACAGGTGAAAAACCTTAATTTTGTTACTTTAAACACGTGTCCAGTCTATTTTCTTCAACCTCGTCACTTTAGAAATTTAAATTAATTCTCAAATACTTAACCTGTCGAGCCTCTTCTTACAAGTATTAAAGTATACTGAAGTGCTTAAATCTAACCCTCTCAATAACCCTCTCAAACTATTTGTTGTTATTATTGAATAAACCATCGTACTTGTTTATTTACACCTTTTTTTAGGAAGAATAGACACCTATATTTTATTATACAACTGCCAAATTTCAAGTTTCGTAAAGACTATTACAAAACGCCCCATGAGACCATAATCTATAAACATTACAGAAGTAAGTGTTTAAAGTATTTTGGGGCTTCCGAAAGAGAAGAAACATTACTACTGATCAATAATACGGTGGACTAAAAGGCACAATATTAGAACAGTGAAAAAGAATAATGGACAATGCAAGTTTGTCTTTAGGTGCCAGATAATGATGAAAGATTACTGCCCACACAAATCGTTCTGCTTCTAATCTGATAAATCCTTTTATCTTGATGTTAGAAAGCTGAAGGAGCGTAGTCCTTTCGAAGAGACAGTTTAATGTGGGCTATAATTTCACTCGAACCTTTGTTGCAAAGAAAACCATGATAGCTGTTACTCTATAAAAGGAAAATAAAGGCCTTACAAAGCATAAAAAGAAATAGTGTTTTTGTTGTTTTTTTCTTAAACGCTTTGGTGAGCTATTTCTGTCACCGTAAACATGGACCAATTACATTCTTAACTTACCTATTTCCAAATTACAGAGGCAACTTTAGAAGCTAAATAATATTTTTGATAATATTAAAATGAAGAAAACTAAATTTATGTTGGATTTTGACGCATTTAAAAAAAAAAAACACTTTCGAGTAACTGATATAACTTTTTGCGCAATTTGTGCTGTGTCCACCACGCGTATCGAAACCCGATTTTGAACGTTATAAAGAACAATTGTTGCTGCGTCACCGTTTCGTGCGAAACTCTAAATAAATCACGTTCTTGAGTGAGAAGGGGGACTAAAGTTTGATGTTTTAGGCTCAATTCTAATTAAGGACTGTTTTGAATTCTACTCATGTAAGACATAATGAAATATTTTGCCAAAATTAATATCAAATATTTCTATTTAACAAATCAAGGTGAATAATAGCATCCGATATGTTCTACTTTATGAGATAAAAGTAACACAAAAACTCTAGAAACTATGTAATGTAAACATTGAAACTAAAGAGGCTTACATTTAAGCTCTGTTAATTACAAAAAGACAGGGTAGGGTCTCAGTGGTAAAAGACAAATTTAAAATGATATATCAAAACACGTCTACATTTGAGGACAAATTAACATAAGTGCAAGAAAATCGGCATGATTTTTATAACAAGTTTCATTGGTTAATCACTACGACGTAATGACTTTACGACAGACTGTAACATATTTATTTACTTATTTTTTTAAGAGATGCTGTCATATTTTGCTACATTTTCATTACTTTGTAATTAATCGAAACGTCATCCATGTATCAGCACATTTACTCTCTGTGATAGTATGGCAAAGAAAAAAATTACGTCCAAACAAAACTATATTCACATTGACCTTACCTACCCCCAGTGACTTACAACGTTAGAAACCGAGTTTCGATACCCGTGGTGGGCAGAGCACGGACAGCACATTGTATAGCCTTGTGCTTTATTACAGCCCCCAGTGGCACAGCGGTATGTCTGCGGACTTACAACGCTAGAATCCGGGTTTCGATACCCGTGGTGGGCAGAGCACGGATAGCCCATTGTGTAGCTTTGTGCTTAACTTCAAACAGAAAAAAAAATGCTTTATTACAAACAAGTTAACCTACGTATCGTTCATCCTTATGGAAATGTTAACTTTTTTATTGCACATTATTTATCACAATAAATATTTTCTAAGATCCGATTTGTATTAGTTTCACTATTTGGTAGAAATATGCTGTTTTTGTTTTTGCACCACAACCCCTAAGACACGTTCACCAAGGTGATATTGTTGTTTGTATAAATAATATGCAACGATTGCTGAAAAATTCTGATCTTTGTTTCCTTTCTCTAATTGAATGACTTGTAAAACTATTTGGTAGAAATATGCTGTTTTTGTTTTTGCACCACAACCCCTAAGACACGTTCACCAAGGTGATATTGTTGTTTGTATAAATAATATGCAACGATTGCTGAAAAATTCTGATCTTTGTTTCCTCTCTCTAATTGAACGACTTGTAAAACTAAAACCAAACCAACAGTTAACTATTTCGTTTTCTTCGTAGGTTTCCAGTGTCATGGCAGTTGGAAAGAAAATGGAACTTATTACCTTATTGCTAGTGCACTCAGGACTCGAAGAAGATATTGCATCGTAAGTTGTTTCTCGGTGAAACCTTTATTTTCCGCCAGCTCGTGGGTCTGAATATGAAGAAGGTGGTTCTTTCGATCTGATTGGGTTTTGCTAACTGTCAGTAGTTTTAGCCCGTGTTTAGAATAACCCTGCTATTATAATGCATCGGCACGTGCTTGCGGCCTATATTGAGTTGTAGTACGTAACTTCTCTCGCTCTCGAAAACGGTTATTTTTCTGCCTCTTCTATTTTATCTTTTTTTTTTTTGGTTGTGCGTTTTTTTTTTTTTCGTTTCCTTTTATCACCATCCAATGTTTTATTCTTACTACTTATTCGATAAAAGTAGTCACTGAATGTTATGTTTTATTATTTAAAAAAAAAAAGGTATTTGAAATGAAATGCCAGCAATGTATAATAATATATTTGCTTGTTATAAAGCGCAAAGCTACTCAATGGGCTACCTGTGATCTGCCCATTTCTGATATCGAAACCCAATGTTTAGCGTTATAAGCCCTCAGACACACATGCTCAAGTGCATTTGATTTAATGGTAACTCGTACGGATTCCAAATCAATTAATGTGTTTGTTATTCGTTTACAATTCTGAGTTCAATACCAGTTTCGTATTATTATCTGTCTATATGTAATGCCATTTTTGAAAGATTTCTTTTCAAAATGTTAACAGATATAAAGTATATTAGTCGGTTAACAAGTAATATTTCTAAACAGTTAAACACTGACCCGGGATATTTAATATGTCCTTAAATTTAATCGTTTTTGTTATTTGACTAGGATCTCCTGAACAGAAAAGTCTTCAATCGACCAGTAAAAAGTTTTACAGAAAAACCCAGCTAGTTGTGGAAGTCGTACTTAAAAATAATTAACTCCATCTCAATCTGAAACGAGAACAAACCTTCACACTATTCTGTGTATGTAGTAATCCAATAAATCACTTTAAGCGTGTATCACTTACGACACAACTATCAACAGTATCAGTTTCTTGGGATGATAACCATTTGTATTGGGCCAACAAATCGTTTTCTGTCTGTTACCAGCAAAACATTGTTTTTAACCCACAATAGGTCCCCTTCAAGTAATCGTCATTTATAAACACAGACTAAGTGCTCGTGCACACAAAAGACCCCCCTCTGAATAATTGTATACCAAGTTATTTATAATAGAAACAAATTTGATGCTCCCTTCTGTCAGTTTTCACCATCATTCAAAGTCGTTCGTAGTTTATTCACACATGCCGTTAACACATAATCGAAGAAAGTATACAGGATTTGTTTTAATAAAAATGTTGCATTAGTCCAGATTTCGCGACCGTTAAAAAGATTAGTGACATGTATATGTTATACGATCTTATATTACTTTGATATGGTTAAATATTAAAATTTGCCCGTTTTTTCTCCATCAAATTATATTCTCTTCATTAGTACACATACACATACATACAATTGTTTCAATTGATGTTCGAGCAATTCGGACTGTTTAATTATGACGTTTCAGTTGTCGTGAATAAATATTAAACAAACTAGTTACTAATGTAATAACACCAGCACACCTTTGAATGTAATAAATCTTCACGAAGTTAACGGATACCTCCGATTGCTCAGGTTTACGGCGCTTCTAAAATTTGGGTTTTGGTACCTGTGATGGGCAGATTATAGATAAACAAACAACTACGCAATTGGCTAATAGCAGCCAAACCAAGAAGTAAACCCTATTAATTTTCTTGATAAAAAATAATTTAAATGGAATATTTCATGAGGAAACGGTAAAGCCACATTTGAGGATCTGTTCAAATGATATATATATCATAGATATGAATATAATATTCTCCTTTTTCATTGCACAAATTTTTCATTTTCTTCCAGGTGTTCACTGAAGATGACAAAACGTTACATTTCTCTGGAAGCCCGGATGTTTGTTTGAGGAACATGAGACTGGGTAGAGACGGATTCATCGCCTTTAGCCTTAGCGGTAAAAGTGGGTGTTTTATGATGAATTTATTTTGTCATAAATAAAAATATATAAATATATAAAAATAAATAAAAGTATTTTATAATATGTTTCTTAATTTGTCAATAAACAAATTAACAACTCACCACTGAGAAGCCTAGTAACCGGAACATTTTACGGTAATTAGGAAAACAGTTGTGCTTAACACAATGAGGTATCTGTGTTCTGATCATCATGGGTATCGAAACTCGCATTTTACCATTGTAAGCACGCAGACTTACCGCTGAGATATTGGAACAGACTTTCATTTTTTTTAAGCATGGCCAAGTGGTTACGGTGCTTGACACACAATCTGAGGATCGTGGCTCGAATCTCCGTTCCACCAAACATGCTTCGCCTTTCAGCCGTTGGGGCGTTATAATGTGACGGTCAATCCCAATATTCGTCGGAAAAAAGAGTAGCCCAAGAGTTGGCGGTGAGTGGTGATGACTAGCTGTCTTCCCTCTAGTTTTTCACTGCTAAATTAGGGACGGCTAGCGCAGATAGGCCTCGTGCCTCGTGTAGCTTTGCGCGAAATTCCAAATAAACCAAACCTTTTTTTGAGGGTGGCAATCGCATTTTAGAAAACACTTGGATTATCTGTGCGTGTATGTGTGGAATATCATTAAAAGGTATCTTCGTTTTTATATATTTGGTTTTAAACCATTCGGGTGAATTTTCTAAAACAGGATTCTTCAGAGTCCAGGTGTGAGTGAGATACAGAACAACATACACCAGATAAAAGTTGCTAACATCCATGCATTCAAGATTCGAATAAATTTCTCAGTCGCTATGCCATTGTCGGGTTGTTTTTTTTTTCAGTCATTAAAAAAAGAGTTTGTGTGCGCGCGCGCGACTGTCGTAAAATCAATCTTAGCCTCCTTCTGTAAAGTAATCACCGTTCGTGTTCAGGCTCTGTTATTTGGCTAGTCTTGTTGAACGTGATAACGTACAACGTTGTGAGCATATGCTAGCTGAAAAACAAACGTTCCTATTTTTACGATATTTCATGCGTTGCGTGTCTGTTTTCACATAGTGTGTTTTTTGACAGAATATATATTATGTATATGTAAATGAAAAAAAACAACAAAAAAACATTCATATCTTATACAACACGTATTCAACAGATTTAGTTCTGCAGGAGTATAAGTTGATTTCCTGATCTTTATCTGTTAAATGAGAAAGATATAATCAAACACTTAATAGTTCCTTGAAGAGGGGAATTATAATATTATTCTCCCCCTCATTTCCAGTAGATCTTGAGAATATCAAACTAAAAATGAAACACGTTTCGAATACTTTGTTGAAAGGGTAAGAACTTTTTCTCTGAACTCGTTAGTAGTGTTAGAACAAAGCCACATTGGACAAGTTCTTGTGTCCACCTCAGGAAATCGAACCCCGGATTTTAGCGTTGTAAGTAGGTAAACTTACCGCCGTCCCACCGGGGGACTCTCAATAGTAGTAGAAATTAAGTCCACTATTGAATATATGTCGTATTTACTAAAACATTAACTAAAAACAATAAAAAACAGACTTGTTAGATTTATGAAATGGTTTAAATTTTATCAAATTTCTCTTTTAATTACAGCTACCAACATATTTTTTAAAAGGCACACAAAAGCTCTGCATAAAAAGGTCGTGTAATGTTAACCTTTGAACCCAATTGTGTCGGGAGCATCATACTGTTATGTTTTTTATGACTTTCCTAATTAATTAATCCATTAAGTGTGGTTATATACCAATCTCATTTAAGACGTCATACGAGACTTGAATCTTCGACTGTTTTATTGATAAATAAACGTTTGTTTTCCCGTCACAGTGACTAAATCGTCTATATTCAAGTATAATGTGCATACCACTGTTCAAATACACACTTTGCCGAAAACGCAATCATATAAGACACATCGTGTTAATAACGTTTTTTTCCCCTCTGGGATATAGAAATGAGTACTTGTGTCACCACGGATACCACTGCAACCAGTTAGTCTGATAGTGAATTACATATTATTATCTCTACACGAGGGAAAAATAGTACACGTATTGGTTATCCTTGTAAACTAATCATATTAACAAAGAGTATATTTTATATATATATAGAGAGAACGTTTTTAAATAAAAAAGGGATATATCTTTTCACTACTGAAGACAATATCTCGAATACAGTATAAAACAACTTGAGGAACCTGATAATCAGCGAGCGTACTTTCCTTCCTTTTTTCGCTCCAACCCGATAATCCGAGCGAGTTTTCTTATTAAGGGGTGAATACCTATCTAGATGGTGATATTTAATAGTTTAACTATTTTTTGAGTCCCCCATTAGGTCAGCGATACGTTCAGAGACTTACAACGCATATATATACAAGGCTCGGTTTTCCGCGGTGTACACAGCAGATAGATTTTAGGGCAAAGCCACATGTGGCTTTGCCCTAAAATACACACAAACGTTATTCTATGAATGCGTTTTTTTTTAGTTGTAGACGAGATTTTATATTTGAGCTGTTTTATATGTGGTTTATTTATGTATTACAACACAAATCACTTCTTTTGGTATTTATCTAGTATTAAGTTGAATATAACTTAAGTTATTGTTTAAATTACTGTCATGTAATATTATTGAAAAAATAAAAAGTAGTTGGGCCATCAGTAAGTTAAGTTTCACATAATGTAGTTGGACCATCAGTAAGTTAAGTTTCACATAATGTAGTTTGAACATCAGTAAGTCAAGTTTCACATAATATAGTTGAACCATCAATAAGTTAAGTTTCACATAATGTAGTTAGACCACCAGTAAGTTAAGTTTCACATAATGTAGTTAGACCACCAGTAAGTTAAGTTTCACATAATATAGTTGGAACATCAGTAAGTTAAGTTTCACATAATGTAGTTAGACCACCAGTAAGTTAAGTTTCACATAATATAGTTGGACCATCAGTAAGTTAAGTTTCACATAATATAGTTGAACCATCAATAAGTTAAGTTTCACATAATATAGTTGGACCATCAGTAAGTTAAGTTTCACATAATATAGTTGGACCATCAATAAGTTTCACATAATGTAGTTAGACCATCAGTAAGTTAAGTTTCACATAATATAGTTGGACCATCAGTAAGTTAAGTTTCACATAATGCTGGATAATATTTTAGTGCACTATCACTTTAATAGTGAAATTTATAATTATTTTAGGTTCCCTAAAGGAAGTAGATTTAATTCAAATACTAACAAATAAATATGACAAAACGATTCTTATTTTTTTAGGAAAAATGAAATGTTTAGTATAAATATAAAACATGAATATATATGGAATTCTTAGAAAGATGTCAAAACAATAGAAAATATAACGAAATTTCTTCAATGTAAAATAACTCAGGTTTCAAACTAACCGAAATGTCGAATAAGAACAAAATTAAAACACTCAAGATAAAATAGTTTAATGAGAGTTTAAAAAAAGAGTCAAAAGGCTAGATAGTATAAATGTAGAAAACCGGATAAGAAAATAACGCGAGAAATAGAAAATGAAATTACTTTTAAAAACTTGAAAGATGTTAACATTGATTTATATCACACACAAACAATTGTTTAATAAATTGAAAGGTGTTAACATTGATTTATATCACACACAAACAATTATTTAATAAATTGAAAGGCGTTAACATTGACTTATATCACACACAAACAATTATTTAATAAATTGAAAGGCGTTAACATTGATTTATATCACACACAAACAATTATTTAATAAAATGAAAGGTGTTGACATTGATTTATATCACACACAAACAAT